ATGCAAGGAAACCTATGACAATGCTGTGACCCAAGACATGACAAACCCCGACAGTGCACTGGCCATTGAAGCTGACATCGAACCAGTTCATTGCACTGCAGAGCCTGACACCACTGTGGATGATGACACAAGCGGCTCTGACACCACAGTGACTGATGTCATGGCCAAGCCTGACATCACACTGATGCCGCTTGATGGCACAACAGACTGTGATGTGGCACCGATGGACAGCTCAGCAAAGCCTGACACCGCCGTGGCTGGAGACACAACCAGCACTGACACTGAGATCATGGCCAAGGCTGACATCGCACCAGTGCCGATTGATGGCACTTCAGGCTCAGCCACAGAACTGATGGATGGGACAGAAACCCCTGAGACTGCCTTGACCGCTGACACAATCAACGATGAAATGGAACCAACTGATGTCAAGGCGAACGATGACACCACGACTGACGGCATTGAAAAGGCTGACACCACGCCCACTCAGAGTGTCCCTGATGCTCCCCATCTGGAATTTTTTGAGGAGAAAGGTGTCTCCAGAATGAAGGAAGTAAGCAGCCTGTGGTCAGGGCTCAAGTGCCCCAGGGATCTTGTGGCCCCTCAAGCTGGGTCTGCTGGGTCCCCCAAGCCTTTGAGGCCATAGAGTATGGTGGGAAGGGAAGAACTTCCTAAGGGAAGTGGGGACACTTCCTTGCTCTGGGAACTCTGCCACTCTCCCTCATTTCCCCTCCAGGTGCCGGCCATTGTGAGATCCATCCACCAGCGCCTCACATCCCACGTGTCTCCAGATGTCAGGATGCACACTGACATCCGCAGGCTGGCTGAGGCACACCCTCATGAAGTTGTGATGACTCTTCTGTGCTGTGCCCCAGCATGTGACAGGTACAGGGATGAGCTACTTTGGTGGCTCAGGGCTCAGCAGCCCTTAGAACCCATCACCCTGTAGAGCCTGTCCCACCTGGTCTGCCAGGCAGATGGAGAGTTCCAGGACCCTCCAGCCCCTCCATTTCCCAGCCCTGGCCTATCAGCCCCTGGTTCTGCAACCATTTGCCCTCCCTGTCCCTCGAGGCACAATGGCTCTGTCACCTGGGCCCTCACAGCTGCCCAGGCCATGGCACTGTAACCGAGACCCCCCTGACCCAGAGCTCTGTCTCCACAGAGCTGCTGCAGTGATGTGGAGCAGCATCGCCTCCTCGGGAACCGCAGTGGAGAAGGTGCTGCCCACACTGCTTGGAGCAATGCAGGACTGGCCGATGCATGGCATGTCCAGCTCTGATGACGACCACACACACGTCTCTTCCCTGGCTGTGAGTTTCTGGAATTGGCCTTTGCTCCTCCCCAGGTCACCTCTCCAGCCACTCTCCATCCTCCCCCACTACTGCATCCCTGTGCCTCAGGCATTGGGCTGCAAATGTGGTAGAGGGGCAGGTTCAGGGGCACCAGGCTGGCTGCTCCCCCTGGGACTCCCCTGGCCTCTCCCTCCCATGCTCGGGCCCTGCCACATGGACATCTCACACTGAGCACTGTCTCTGTGTGGTTTTATTGCAGGCAACCCTGGCACTGCGGCTCATCATCCAGAAGCCCGAGTGCCTGGATGCAGTTTTCAATTATGTCCCCTGTCTTCTTGTGGCTTTGCTCTTCCAAATTTCTATGAGCACAGGCCAGATGCCGGAGAAGGTCAATGCCTTCTGGAGGGGATGCCAGGAGGAACATGGCCTTCCCACCAACCCCAACAGGTACTCCATCCCTGTCCTCTTTCCCTCCCATGCCCTTGGGGCTGGGACCAGGGCTTCCAGCATGACCTGGCCTTTGCTCTGCACACAGGTTTGCAGTACAGACCCTGAAGGCTCTGTTCTGCTGCCTGCACTGGGAGAATGAGGTGGTGGCCATTGAACGGAAGCGTGGCTGGGAGACAATTCTTTATTCTGACACCCACCATTATGCAGTGGGGCTGCTGGCCAGGTGAGACATCCTTCTCCCCACTGCGCCTGTTGTCTCTCTCTTGGGCACCAGGAACCCCACACATCCCTTGTGGCCGTGGGCCAGAGGGCCTTGGCACCAAGAGATGTCTGAGCAGATTGGAAAAGGCTGTGAGAGCTGGGTGCAGAGGAGGAATGACCTCCCAAAGCGCCCACATCTCATGCTGGGCTGCTGGTGAAGGTCCAGGCCTCTGTGAGTCTCTTCTTGGAGAGCTTTGACCACCTGGCTCAGGCCTGATGGGTCCCTTTTTCCCCATGACAGGGAGATGCGCCATGTCTTGGTGCCCTTCCATTCGCAGATAGCAATCCACCTGCTCGGGCTGCTCAGCAGGGAGGAGCCCCTCTGGGAGCTCCCTGCCCTGGCGTTCCTTGTAGAGGTGAGCCTGATGGAGAGCGCTGCCTCACCTGCCTGCCTCCCCCTCTCTGCCATCTCACAGCCACAGCTGCCAGGGACGGTGCCTGTGCCCTGTACTGCTGCCTGGGCACAGCTGGCTCCTGCCTGAGTGGCTCCAGGGTCCTGTCACCTTGGCACCCCAGCACTGCTCTCTGCCTTCCAGATCCTGGACTATCTGGATGGGACAAAGTGTCATGAGAGGGTCCTGCTCATCCTATCAAGGAACCTGCAGAGCCAGTGCCCTGAGCGGCGGCGCCTGGCACTGAGAGGGCTCCTTGTTCTCAGTGTGGAACCCTTGATGGTGAGAAAGGGACACCCGGCTGAAGCCACATTGGCAGCCTGGGCCTGGGGAGTGCAGTAGCTTGTGCTTGGCTGGGTTTTGGGAGCTGTGGCAGCTGCTCCCAGCTCTCCTGCCTCCCTCTGCCTCTGGGCCCTGGGACAGCAGCGTGGGTCCTGGAGCTGCTGCATCATGAAGACACAGAGCTGGTCGAGATGACGCTCTCTGTCTTCCTGAATGTGCTCCGGAATGAAGACCTTCAGGCATTCAGCTGCGCTGCTCCAAAGCTGGATGAGACACTCCAGCCACTGTTTGAAAATGTAAGGATCTGGTGCTGCCAGGGAACTTTGTGCCCTGTGGATTTTAAAGCCTGTTCCAGGTGCACCTGGAGCAGCCAGTGCTGAGATCTTTTTGTCTTCTTCTGCACCAGGACAACAGCCATGTGCAGCTGCTCTCCATTCGCCTCTTCCAAGAGGTGATGGAGTTGGTAGCGAAAGAGGGAAAGACGGATGTGTGCCAGGGCCTGCTCCCATTCTTCCACTGGGATGATGAGAAGCAGTGTAGGGCAGAGGTGAGCACTGGAGGGCTGTGGTGTCCCCGTGGCAAGGGGCTCAGCTGCCTCTTGTCCAGGTGTCTCCATGGGGTGCATTCCTTCAGGAACAAGCTGCTCCACTGTGGGTCCTGCCAGGGAAACCTGCTCCTTCGTGGGCTCCTCTCTCCATGTGCAGCACATCCCTGTCAGGACCCAGCTCCAGCATGGGGCTCCCACGGGCTCACAGCCTCTTTTGGGCATCCACCCACTGTCACGGGAGCTCCCCCACAGGCTGCAGGTGGATCTCTGCACCCCGGTGCTCCTCCATGGGCTGCAGGGGGACAGCTGCTGCACCACGGGCTGCAGGGGAAGCTCAGCTTTG